GTTTTGAAACTGGAAACAGATTTATGTAGTGTTTGGGATCAGCTCTGTAAAGGTCATACTAAACAAGCTAGCTCATTTCAGTAAACCCTATTCCCTTTCTGATCCAGGTGACTCTCGGCCAGTAGTTTCACGGCACACATAACTGGCATAAAATCGCCATTCTGACCACTTTCTCCATCTTCATGACATCACTAATTTCCGATTCCAGTGACGCCGCACTGACATTCAGCTTCTTTGATTAATTGTTTCCTACAGGGCTCTTGCGAGTGTTTCTGTTTGAAAAAAATAAATGACAAAAAATATTTTCTGGAGCCCTAAATTGCTAGATCCAAACACTCCTTCAGCTCCAAGCATTGACCACAAAGATGACCTGGCATGGGATAAAATATCAGCCACAGCAATAGTTTTCCTACAGACCCTGATTCCTCCAATAAAGAAGAAGTTAGAGGGGTATCAGTCAAACTCTTGATTACAAACATCCTTCAGCGATACATGTGCAATAGCATTTACTTAAACACACATTCGCGCATTAGTGCACAAGCCTAAAAGCATGTCTATGCATGCGCATGTTGTCAGTGCAGCCATTAGCAAAACATGCAAAATGTAAATGTCCCTAAATGCCAAAGTGGAAAAAGGTAGGATAAGAATCACCTAATCTGGCTAATCCAGCCAAAGATTAGGAGCAGGCAAATATTGCCAATAATAAACAAATGACTAACATTCTCAGTCTGTGTGGTTACAAGCCCAAGGGCTCCAGCTATAACCCAGCAGGGTCTGGATCCAATCCGTGCTGTTTATCAGTGCAAGCAGAAGTGGCCACTTGTGAAAGCTCTATGATAAACACTTGGGGGACAAACCGAGAATGGCTAACAGATCAGTATGACCAAATCACTCCTCTCAGTTTGATTTACAGATCTGACTTCAAGGACCAAAGCACGACATTCTCACCATATTATTACCACTTCATTACTCACTCTGACACTACCTTCATGATAGCCATATTCTGTGGGGATATGATTTAGCCTTGACCATCTCTAGTGACGGTCGCATATTTAGACACTTAAATGACAAGTTTGTCATAGCATTATGGCTGAATTAGTTAGCATGCAATCAGCAATACAAAAATTCAGTAGATACACAGACAATGCAATTAAATAGACTTTTTTCCCAAGTCGTGTACTAGTTAAATAGGTAACTGCGACCACATGGAGTTCAACATCACAAGCGGTGGTTCAGAAGAGCGACTGAACTAGTTTCCAAGTTCCTTAAATATGAGCATGTTTGTTTTTCTTTGTTAAAATATAACAAAAATAAATATAGTTAGAAGTAGTAGACAGCTGAGCACTGTATTTTGTTCAGGATGATTGACACAAAACCGTTCGCATGTCGAGGTGTCACCATGGAGGTTATGGCAAAATCATGTCTGATAGATACTGTGACTGACCATGAATTCCTTTAAGTAGTAACAGAGCTGAGTAAATAGTATCTGTGTGATGAAACATGAGCTCAAAGGTAAAGCAGTGAAAGTACTGAATCTCACCTTCATGCAGTGTACATGTGTGTTTTTTGTGGGTGTGGTGAGAAGTAAAAGTTTCCCTTTGCTCGAAACCACCTATTTTCTTTTGGTTCAGTGTTAAGATTCAAGACAGAAAAGTGCAGAGCAGGCGGTGCTTTCATTGTCTCGTCCACAGTGCTTTACCTGCTGTGCCCAGGGACTCAACGGGCCTAAAGGACTCTGTCACTTTAACCTTGTCCCCAAGTATGTCCCTGGCCAGCACAAAAGCCATCTGGGGTGCGGCTGAAAGCTTAAGTAACAAAATAACTCTTTCAATCTGCACACTGCATGGTTCTGACTGCAGGGTGCTAAGGTTGCCAATACCAAGACACTGGACCTATTTCTCCTCCTTCTCCTCCACCCTTCTAATTCTGGCCTACATGACTAACTCCAACTGAAAGCCCCACACGCCAGAGGTGGGAGCCCAAAGCACTGTAAGATTCAAAAAAAGACCACCTGCTCATCAAACTAAATTGTACTCACTGAAAGCAAGAATAGAGAGAATGAAAAGGAGTTGAGCGAGAGGGAAACAAATGAAAGGAAAGACAAGTCACCATTCTCCCTCTGTGATCTTGGCAGACAAAAGAACAAATTGTGTTTCTGCCTCATGGCACCAAGCGTCAAAATTGATATAGGGTCCCACTCAGTGCTGTTTGTATTTGAGCATACTGATATAGGCTCCATCAGTTCCCACAAGAGAGCCAGAGAGGTGCATGGACCTACCTACCAGCCTTTCATCTAGGTTTCTTTTGTATTATGCCCACTTGTGTCTGTTGTTTGTCTTGAGTAGAATTGACTGTTATTATTCCAAACAGCATTATCTTTATTAATGCCACAGGTCTCAGGACTGTGCACTCCCTAGGAGTCGGGTCTGGACAGAGCTGCAAGCAATCTCCCTAGATAAAAGCTCAGTAGAGAGCTGTATGCAAGCCAGACAGCCGGACGGGCCTTTACCCTCCCTCCTCATTCTCTGAGAGAAGTGTAGGCCCTACAAAGACTGAGATTTGACTTTAATCTTAGCTCTTTCATAAGGCATCTCAGCTGAGGGCATGGCTCTAGAAGCCTATCAGAGTCACTTTGTGTCAGCCACGAGTCAGAACAAACAAGTGTAATGTTAGTAAAGAAAATAAAAAACTTTCTATAATAATTCACAGAAAGTAAAATATACATGATCAAAAAATTTTGAGAACTTGAAATACTGAAATCACAATATACAGATACACAGTTTATAATGTTGGTGGCTAATATGTGCTCAGAAGTGAGGCCATTTTCCAAAGGTGGTGTGGAGAGCTGACGTGTGGCCAGGTCAGGGCAGGGCAGGAGCTGGGGTCTCGGTTTAGTGCCTAAAGCTGCTTGCTCCAGTGAGGAACACAGCATCAGCTCCCGGCCAAACCCTGGACACTGATTTATGGGACATGCGGATTACCATCAAATCAGCCATAAGGACCACCCAGATAGTGGCACAGGACAACAGCCACACAGACTCACAAAAGGCGCACAGCTATTCGAATATACTTGCAGGCTAATAGTGACTAATATGGACATTGTTCAACAGACATCCACAAAACACCGAACCATTACTCAATGACACTTTAAATGCAAACACATATGCTGTTTAAGATGTAGTAAATATTGTAGATTAAGACTTTCTGGGACTAAATGAAAAGCTGCACATGCCATGGGTAATGGCTGGTTAACCACTCAAGTGCAGTGGGAGAAATGAGTTTGCTGAGCCTTCCTCACAACCACAAAGCGAGAGAGCCAGCTCCTCTCAGAGTTCATCTGCATCTACGGGATGTGCCTGGAGGATAATGGGTGATGTTCACACTGGCATTCATTTTCTTAACGGCGATGTGGACTCCTCTCACTCATATGCCATCGTTAATACTTTTCCACCAAGTCACACAATCCAATAACATGTCCTGAACCAAAGAGGAAAAAACACAAAAAAGGACATTTCTCACTTGAAAGGGCACAACGCAACTCAGCCATAAGGGACCAGTTTGATGAGCTAAACAATATGTGTCATGACAAATCGGACATGGTACATTCCCTAGGCAAACACTGATCTCATACAGGGAGACTGCTAGGCAAATATTCACCTGCCCTAAGCTAATAACATGTGTGGGGGCAAACACACACTTAAGCTCGTCAATACTGAGACAATGATGGGAATTAGATTGCACAATGACTAAATGAAAAAAGCATCAGAATTTTCTTTTAAAGGACCATCTCAGTGATAGTCACATGTAACATTTTTAATGACAAACTCACCGTATCATGAAAGAATGCAAGATTTGTATCAACAGAGGTAAATGGTGTTAACTTGGGCCATCACAATGCCTTTGGTAAGAGGACATGCACAGTGTACATTTTATTGTGCAAGAATCTAAAAAAAAATATCTGCATGCTTTGTGTGTCAGGAAATCCTACTAAACAAATGGCACTTATTTGTCTCTAAGGCCTTTCTAACCTAGTTGAGCCAAGCTCCAGAGACAGCACCACGCTACACAGTGGGCACCCTTGACACTTCCTGACCACGTGACTCTCTCCAGCTGCCTTTTGATTGGTTTCTCTGAGACCAAGGGATTGAAGAGAAGAGGAAGCGGTAGTGGCAAAGGGTGGCGGGTAACTGCCTGGCAGCAGACACATGAGAAAAAAAAAAGAAATTCCTGCCCCATTGCCATGGAGATGAGTCAACAGCAGGTCGAGGGAGAGCAGAGAGGGCTGGGGGGCTGCAGGGCACTGGCTGACCTGCTGTAGTTAACAATTCATCCCCGTATCCGGCTCGCAAATGATTGGGCAAACATGGAGTGCCCTGGAGGCAAAAGGGCCCCAAGGGGCTGAGAGAGGAGCATTACCCTGGGGTGACACACTGACAGGCAGACAGAGGGTGGACCAGCTGAAAGAGGGAGTAAGGGATAGGGGCTACCAGTGTGGGGTGGGGGGGTGAAGAGGCCTAATTGGAAGTGGGATAGTGGCGAGGCACACCGAGTACTGGGGGCTACAGTACAGTCACAAACGGTACTGATGGTTGTGCCCTTTTAAAGTAGCGTAATTAAACGACTTGTGTTAAGATGCCATTTTGAGGATGAGAACAATCTTTTAAGGACACCACAACAAACATCACCCTGGAAATTCGGTTTCTATTCGTCATTCTAAGCTAAATGGTTAACAGCACTTGGCTACTTATACTGTTGTGCCAACAGTAAAAGCAGGAGTTACGTCAGTTTTATAAGCCTAAACCACAGTAACACCATAAGTCTTTGGCATGTATCCTCTTTGCTACAGAAGATTTTGCCACAAATGCGGCAAATAAAACACTCATGCACACTTTAAGTTCACGGAAGGTTGATTTGCAATGGTTTAGAGAAGAAGACTCTAAAACTAAAACATCCCAAGCTCATCAAAAAAGTCTGCAGTGACTTTGGAAACACAAACTCACCAGAAGATCGCTAGCATGCAATTAAAGGTCGTACTCTCATCTCGAGAATTTGGATTCCTTCACTGTAAAGACAAATCAGAAGAGGAAATATGTCAGTTCACACCTTGATAATATGCGGTACAATTACATTGCTTACACTTCGCTCTCCTTAACAGTGACAGAGTAGCTAATACTCAACAGGTTTCAAACATTACCCACTCTGCAGTGGCGCAGACTCACATCCATAATGGATCTGAGTAAAAAATAACAGATGAGCGATGGGTGGATTTCATCAATGTCACATCATACAGACAAACCACAGGACTTCAATGCTGCACCTATTTTGGGCTAGACTTTACGTAGTGTTGGGTTCTGTCTCACTCAGCAGAAGTTCTCATATGTAACTTTATGCACTGTCACAACTTGGTCTGTTCCCCAGAATGGCAAACCAAAATTCATTTATCCAATTGGCTGTCTTTGACTTTGAAGGATTGAAATGCCACTATTACAACAGGCCTTTCACTGGGCAGTGGTGTATAGAGGGTGTGTTAACAGAGCAGACCTTTTACTGGTCCTTCACTTCTACTAACGTCAGAGCACAGTGTTTTCAAAAACACAGCTGAAGCATGCCCTTCCTTTAGAATCCTCTCAGTAATAACGCAGCCAACAAATCTTATAAATGAAAAACAGAGCAACACTTACTGTGTCTGTGAGAAGGAAAAAAAAAGAGAGAATAGAAGGAAAACAAGAGGAAAAAGTGTAATTATGATAAACATAGCAGATGTTAAGAGTCACTTCTCGAAAGGTGTGTCATTCAGGGAGTTTGGGACAAACTTTTGGCTGCGGCTGAGCTCTAAATTTAGCATATTTGCTAAAATAAAAAGTGAGTTCAGTCGCTGGCACTGAGAGTTTGTCCTGCCCATTCATGACCTCAGTGGTACAGCCGGCGTCACTCGTGACGAAACACAAACCATATAAAACAACAAAAAAAGACCTCCTCAAATACTCAGTACATAAGAAAACAGGCACACTTTAGCGTTTCCTGTAAATTATCCGGTTAAATAAGGCAAGCCAAAAAACAACAAAAAAATATAGCTTCCTGCTTTCTATATTTAGAACAAAGTAAAAGTACAAATGTGCCTTTTACATAACTTTACAGAAAAAGATATATAAAAAAAAAAAAGAGAATCATCTGTCTTCAGTTTCTGTGCATATTGGTTTTGTGTATCTAACGTGAATAGGAGACTGAGGATACATGAGTTTGCTGTATACATTCTGGAGATGAGCCTGTGTGTGTGTCAGAGCTGCAGAGGATGCCCTCGGGGATAAGATGAGGAGTAAATGAAGCAGAAGTCCCATCTAAGCTCAAAAGCATGTGTGTATCAAGGCTGTAACTAAAACACAAGCATAAACACAAGCGATGTTAGGGATTACACCCTGCAATACCACCGCAGGAAATCACTGACAGCACAGGTGTAACCATCATCGCGGACGCATTCTTCCCCGTCTCCGCTCTGCCAGCGGAGGCCTGATTGGCAGCTCATTCTCCACGTTCGTTGGCTGCTTGAAACCTGTGTAAACATCTTGTGGGCATTTGTGTGTGGGACATACAGGTGAGGAGAACACACACAAAGAAGGATTACCGTGGCCTAACATCGCGTCAAACATGCCTTGCAGCACAATACCACACAGTCTCTCGAAGACTTATTATTTCCCCCGAAATCCTTTCCTTCCTTTGCCTTTAGAGTCGAGTCCGATCTGAAACATACAATACGTAAAATATCCACTAAATGTGGGTTGTTGTATCTATTACGATCTTCTTTACGCTTGTCGGATAAGTTTAAGACTTCACGTTTAGAAAGCAGGAGGAACAGAATTTAGTGTGAGCTGCAGGAAAGGAAAAAAGGGAGGAAAGCACATTTCCTCAGCGAACAGCACCCTCTAGAGTGACACAATTCATTCAATCCTGCATCTCACTCCTGGTCTCTGCATGACGTGCAGAAAACGTTGCTCAAGCACAGGATTAATCAGCAACATTTGCTTTACTTAAAATGCAGATAATTCAGTTTAAAACGTCAGGCTTGCGGTTATTTTTTTGGTTTTCTTTGAGACACTAACTAAGCAGGTTGCCTTGTTCTCTGGATTATTTGTGAGCCACATTATAGAGGCAAGAGTGAACCTTTCGTTTTCCCAATGCGAGCTGATAATGAGACAGGCCATTATTAAGATGTTTGCTTTAATCGTGTGCAGGGTTATTAGGTGCAGTTTACAGTACACAAGAGAGATTAAGTTAGGCCACGCATGATGGAAAGAGCTGAGGAGCCCCACGATAAGCCAGCTACCCCACAACTGTGAAGTGGGCTGAGAAATATGAGCGCACAGCAGGACATGAAACGCAGCAAGACAAACCATTTTCCCTCCTCTCTCTCTTTCTCCCTCTCTCTCGCCTTCTTTCTATCTCATTTTCTCTCCTTTTGCCCCAAATCATGTTACACAACTGCCAAGGAATGCCTGCTATATCAAAGAGAGACTTAAAACGAGCACAAAAGAAAAGAACAGTAAAGAGTGGATCGCAGAGGCAACTATGGAAGCTGTAGGTGTTTGATTCTTTTATGTTTGTAGAAAAGAAAAACATGGCAGGGAGCTTGGCATTAGTGTAACAGTGACACACAAGTCCGGACACATACACGCCTGACTGCTTAACAAATGCTTGTATAAACTAAATCAGACTGAGACACACAGCACGGAGCACCAAGCAGGGAGCCCTACATGTTTCCTATTTTTCTTTTTTCCATGCCATTAATAAAAAAACACATTGGGCTGTTTCATTACATTTTGTTGGAATAAAGGGAGTGCTTAAAAATCCATCATTTTATGAGTGCTCAAACTTTCCCACAGAATTCCCACCATTTTCCGTGCGTTTGACCCAAACGCATTAAAGTAGCACTCAATTAGGCTGGCACACGGAGCCAAACCGGGGCGTTCGTTTGCTGCTTAATCATGACACACAGCAGCCACCAACAGAGATTGCACGACCTGTTGTGCATGAATAGAAACAATTCCCTGCGTGAAGACAATGGGGAATCTAAAAACAGAATAAATAATATGTTTTAATGTTTAGAGAGAATGTAAGGATTCAGCTAAAGTTAAGAATGAGTGGGACTGTCCTGAAAAATCAGGTGGGTCACACTCACATCCTTTAGCAAAAGGTAAAAAGCTGTATGTGTGTGTGTGACTGCATGTTTGTCTGTGTGTATGTCAAGTTAGCAGAAGGTCGGAGCGGTGAAGTATTAGAGCGCTGTTTGCTCTCTTCCATTCTTCCATGTACTCTTGGGGATCAGTTTGTTTGAGAGTTTGAACAGTGACGTGTGAAACCCGTAAAAACAGGACATAGCGCCACACTATTTGCTCAAGAACACCCAGAGAATGGACTGCCATTACAAAACAAATCCCTCAGCCCGCATTCCTCCTGTCCATCAAACCCTACCTGTTGAACAACATTTGACATGGAGCAGAAAAGGTAGCTTGCAGAAGGACTTCAATTTATTAAAAGTGTTTGACACTACAGCTCACTCCTCCTCCACGTACATGTCAATGCACACATCCGCAAAGTGTAATAGGAACACAGTATCTGCTCTGGACATTATTTCTAATGTATGAAACTTGCTGTACTTCCACAAAGAGGATAAATTGAATGTCACTGAAATTTGATACGTCAGTGGCTATTTTGTAATGTTGAATTTTTATCTCTTCTGTCTGTTATCAGTGTTTTCAGCAGACGTACCCAAAGTGCTATTACTGCTATTAGTATTTTTATTATGCGACTTCAAATGGGGATGATTACTCAGCTTCATTATGCAATTTTGATTCTTAACAAAACTACAGATGACTGTGCTGAACACTGTTACTGTAACAGAGTGCATATTACTCATCTCTTCATTGGTTGCCAAACATTTTAGAGGATGTTGGAATTCATCTGGTATCTTTATGTCACATGAAATCAGCTGATTTGTCTAAAAAGCTGTTAAATAATTTTTAGCATTTTCTTCGTTTATTTGTTTGCTTGTTTTTTTTTTCTTTTTTATTGAGAAACAATGCCTAACAAATGTGTGACATGTCAAAAACTTTACATTTTTTTGGTTGATGGAATTAACCAACTGGAACAGAATAAGTGGAAAGAGGCAGAACTAGATTCCAGTCCCTTCCCCTTTCTTTCCTGCTGTCACCCTCATATTAGAGGAGCCACTGGGAGAACTGGATGCGATTTGTATGTGTGTTTTTGAAGAGGGGTGCTCATAAACAGCCATGAAAGGGGCCCCTCTATTCAGCCGGCCGGGCGAGATGCGCTTCACTGGGCCAGCCTTTTGTTTTCCCCTGGTTCACAAAACCTTAAGCATGGAAAAAAAAGGGGGTTGATTCTCTTGATGTGTGCAGGCCCAAATGATGCCATTAGATTGGTGCCCGTTTTGGGTGAAAAAGGCTTCAGTAGCGCTTGAAGTGATTTAAAAGATGCAGGAGAGAGCGGCCCACAAATCCTGTTTGATAATAACGCCGGAGGAGAATGGGGAGGCAAAATGCCAAGCTAGTGATCATTCTATAGTATGCAAAATTGCTCTCAACCCTATGAGTGCCATGGATGTTAAAACAAAAGATGAGGAACATTCCTTTATCACGTGATGAGGGTCAATGTGCTGTGGTGGTGTGTGGGGTCAGGAAGTTCAACAAACTTCCCACGCTGCCTTTCACCACAAGACCATGGTTAAAGCCTGTGACACTTCATTATAGGCAAGAGAATTTTGTTTCTCTAAGGGGCAGTGCCTCAGTGCCCATACAAGGATGAGCCATAAGGAAAAAGAAGAAACAAAAAGCAACAATTAAAAAACAAAAAACAACCATACTCAATTTCCTCATTCACGTGGCAGGACTAACACATCAATTACACAAAAGAACGTCTGGGAAAACATTCCCACACTGTCCATCACGTGGAGTCTAGAGAAAATATCAAGGTACTGTATTTTAGTGTCACAAGAAAAAATAACAATAATCTACTGAACATGTGTTTCTGTAATGCGACAAAGATGAA